TCTAACATTGCTCAAATCGACCAAAGAAGGGCAAAGATATGGCAAATAACAGTTTCGGGTCCCTTCCCGGGCCCATGGGGGAGGGGGGGGGTTCCCGGGGTCAAATTTTTGGGCTCCTCAAAAAAATTCTTAGTTGAGGAACATATGAACCCAGATTTGATACCCAAAAATGTCTTTCATAATTTGCAGGTAAATGTGCATAAGCCTCCTGACTATTTATACTTATAACAGCCCATATATAATGTTTTCAAAGTCAAATCAATGCATTCACCGATCGAGATCACGTTGGGATTTTTTTGATTTAAAAAGAAATATTTTTAAATATTTTTTTGCCGATCACAATAAAAAGTTCCGACACGGGGGGGGGTTAAAATGTACTCGGTCGGGTTAGCGGAAACAAACGTCTTTTTCTCTTAAGCCTAAACAGTGAGACTGTGAGACTGTTCATTCCGTGTTTATTTTCCATCATTTTATTATTGAAACATTGCAAGTGTCCGTTGTTCAAGGTATATACCGGTACTCACTGACACTGTATTTTAACACAACAGACTAGTGTAGCCATGTTAGGCCTACTTTGGGTCTAATTCTACTCTTGTAGCTCTTCGCTCCATGCTTTCACACCCGTGTATGTGTAGTTGTGAAGCAAACTACACATACATGGGTGTGAAATGAATGCTCATGCAATGAAGCAAACGGCTAATGAGGTAGAGATAAACGGGTTTGTAGTCAACTCGACTCGCCGGCAAATTCGACCCGTGGGTCGAGTTTACCCGCCTGGAGGTGGAACAGCTCGACTCGTAGGTCGAGATGACCCACCTGGAGATCGGTCAGCTCGACTCGCCGGCTAACTCGTGAGATGTTTCACACGCCCTAATGTCAAAATGTTTGCGTGTAAGTTAGTACATTTGTGATACACGCACGGGTAATATATATATATATATATAACATTTTTAAATAACATTTATTATGAAGTCTCTCAGAATTTTGGTAGGAGACGACGTGCATGTCCATTATATATATATTCCCCGTGCGTGTATCACAAATTAGCCTCACGAGTTAGCCGGCGAGTCGAGCTGACCGATCTCCAGGTGGGTCATCACGACCTAGGAGTCGAGCTGTCCCACCTCCAGGCGGTACAAACTCGCCACAATGCGAGTTGAGTTGGCGGTTGGGTCGAGTTGACCATGCCCCAGATAAATGTAGCCTATCTCTTCTTCTCACAGCTAGGCTGTCCAAACTGTGGATATGCATTTTGTGCCAAGTGCCGGACAAAGAAGGCGGTTGTACCAGCACAAGGAAGAGACACTCACCATGTCTGCAACAAATGCTATGACAAACTCATGTATGTACATACTTTAGTCCAAAAAAATTGCTGCGATCTGGAGTGTTGATCTGTCTATTTGATCAACTTTGACTCTCTCCATCTTCAATATTATAGTCCCTTGGAATTTGAAGACTAATCTTTTTGATGTTACGATTGAGGTTATGAGATTTTTCACAAGTCTCTACTATAGAGCTAAAACTACCTAAATCTAAACAAATTCCTAATGTATATGGGTGTTGCGATGAACATACTTGGATATGTATTTGAGTATAGATAAATATTCATGTAGCTGGTGTTGCTAAGGGCAAGTGCTGTTATATTATCATGAACTAGAATAGTGAATATACCATTTGTGCCTCTGACGGCATTGGAATCGCGGGACAATGGCTGATAAATTCCAGCGAGAGTGAGGCCATTTTGTATCGACCTGCGCGCCATCCTAACGAGCAACTAAATAAGCCTGCTCTGTCTCCCCCAAGGTCTTTGGGTTACAAACGAAGACTGAAAAAAATAATATCCTCTGAATCAGTTCGCTGATTTCACATTATAAGAGTCAGCACATAACATAGTCCTTCTGCACGCAGAGGTCGTCGAGCTCTACGTGTTCTGTCGGGAGGCGGAGTTCGCAGGGGCACCCACTTCCCTGCGCGGGTCCGTGACTCTGGCTACACTCGGCCTGCTAGGGGTGCAGCAGGAGTAGTAGGCGGGGCAGCAGTTGTGACACGGGGCGTCCCGCTGGTACTGGGTGCCAGCGATGGCACTGACGGTGGTTCAGCAGACGGGAGTGGTGCTGGGGTAACCGCGCGTGGGCGGTGATAGCCAATGGCGGCAGCGTGGCAGCTGGCTCCGCTGTCCTGGGCATTTGAAAACCGTAATGTTGGGGCAGGTGTTCAGTGCCCTGATTGCGCGTCGACGGTGGGTGAGTAGCGAAGGTCCTCCCTCAGTGTCCGAGGCTTGGGTCTCTGTGGCACCACAGGTTCGTAACGCCGCAGAAATTTCTGTTCCGCAATGTAACTCGACCCGAACCGATCAATGCGCTACAACATAACTGGTCAAATTGTCTAACCTCAATGATGACCCCAGTTTTGTCCCATCGTGTGGGGTGGGGGCCAGTTTGGTTCTGGAGGCGTATGTGGTTGCCAACTGCCAGGCGTGGCAGTCGCTTGTGTGCTCTGTCCATCTTTCAGCAAGCCTTCATGTGCCTGTTCCTGAGTGCTTCCTCCCTCGCTGTCATGGTTCACGCCATCGTTGGGATGAGGCCTGTATCGACCTGGCAGTATAGGATGAAAGTTCTTTTATAGGTCGCAACCAAAGATACACATGGCGGGCGAGATCTTAGCCTCTGGGTCAGGCGTATTTCTGTATTGCAACACTGCTGCGCGTGCACGCCGCGTCGGTGTCCAGCTCACCACGTGGACCCGGTGTTGCTAGTGAATCATACGCTTCACTGTCCTTCACTCCTACTTCTTGCTCTGCAGTTGGAATGCGGGAAAGGCCACCGAGCTGAGTCTGTGGTGACCCCCCAATTCTGCACGGAATGTCTTGGTGGCGGCTTGCAGTGAACTCCGGTCCACTCACTCGCTAGCTCATCTGGGATACCGAATGTCACAAAGATACGCCGGAGGCAAGTTATCAGGCTTGGCACCATGCCGATGCCTGTTCCACTACTGGCCAATTGGAATAACGATCGACACAACAGGTAGTTTAAACCCTTGTAATGGAAATAGTCAGCGGCAGACACCACTGGAAGGGTAGGCTGGGGGTGTCGGTGTGTCGGTGGTGCGCTGGCTGTGATGGTGCAATCCTGTGCAGTCACTGCACCTAGCCCTAAATATCCTTGATTGCAGGGGTGATGCGGGCCTGAAAGACTGAGGACTCCGCTCGGGCCAACATCGACGTCACACCTTGATGGTGCAGCGTGCAGTGCTTGGAGGACATCATGGCGCAAGCATGGGGAATGCACGACCCTCCTTGTAGTAGAGACTACACCATCTATTGTATAGAGGTCATCCCGAAACTGATGATACTCCTGCAGCTGTTTGGGACAGCTCATGGCGGAACTCAGGCAGGCCCTGCTCAACCAATCCCACAAGCTCATTCATGGCTACATCACTCGCTGTCGCCTCTTGCACCCTCGCCCATGTCACAGCTATGCAGTGCAGTGCACTACGGCTGAACTGTCGTAGACTGACATTCGAGGTCATCCGGTGGTCGCGCTTCTAGCACCCGGATGTGAGCCAAGAATGAGGGCTGGAGTAGGGGTGCGCAGCCAGTGCGGCGCATTGTCGACAGCTGCAATGTCATCGCTCAGTTGCAACTTATTAGTCATCTGAGGGCCACTGGACCTCGGTACGTGACACCGAGTCCGCCGCTCTGTTTTTGACACCGGGTATGTGGACCATTCGGAACTTGTATCTCAATGTCTTCTCCTTCAGGTTCCTAAGCCTTGCATTGGGGATGTCCTCAAGTGAGCGATCACCAAAGATCTTGAGGAGTGGCTTATGGTCAACTGCAATTATCAGCTTGCTGCACGCTAGCACAAAAAAGCGTGGCCTTGCTCCAGTGCACTCAGCCACTGCCAGAGCTTTGCCTCGGACTGGCGCGTACATGTAGACTCGGCAGGATGTGTGAACCGGCTGCCGATGAGGGTCGTTTTCCAGCCGTCCCTGCAGCAGAAAGGCTCGTCTCTCTGGACAATCACAGTGCTTTTGAAATAGGCCAGAAATCCTATGACCTGCTTCGACCGGTCTGTGTGCCAGCAGGTGGGCTTCTCCTTGTCAAAGATCCTCACACCCTCGTGAATCTCGCTTACAATGACAGCTTTAGACTCCTCGAACAAATCATTCAGTTTCTTTGTCCAGTGAAAGGGGCGTGGAGGGCTTGAGGAGTTCACGAATGGTTGCATTTTGTCGTCGATGCTGAAAGCATAGCTGACCTCGGTTGACCACTCCGAACCAGGCCGCACATCTGTAATGTTGCGGCGGTCATGGAAACTCAGGATGGCTTGGAGGTACTTGCTGTCAAGGTGCGACAATGATTCAGGCGTAACCTCGAAGCCCGCGAACTCAACTGTGTCCTGGGCGAACACAAATTTCTTTCTGGGTTGAGAGTATACCATTGACGGCCACAGAGGTCTATGCCACTCTACTACCCTGAAGAACTGTCCGCAATGGTGTCTGCCCATATGAGTGTGTCATCTGTGCACTTTGTATAGTCAGTATATGAGAGTGCAGAGTCACCGATAATCTGGTCGTACCGTCTAGTGTACCCATCACCAGATGCAATGTATCCTTGAGGTGCCACCCTGTAACGATAGCGACCCCAGGGGGTAATGAATGTCGTCAGGTGGCGGTCATCGACATGCAGAGGAACGCTATGATACCCATTCCAAGCATCGAGGACTGTCTTCACCTTATTCGCTGGCACTGAGCGAGCTTGGTGAAATGGGCTCTGTGTGTGATGGTTTCTCTCTTTAGCATGTGTGTTGAGTGCTTGGAAGTCAACTGTTCGCCTTGGCTCACCGTTTTCTGGCCACAAACGACCATACAGTGACACCACTCTTACAGCAGTTCGTCGACAGAAACCGCCGATACCAAGTATCGGATCGAGGACCGGCCTTCACCATCGTGACGCGCCAATTGAATTAGGGACAGTGGATGCTTGTGACATGGCGACTGCTCAGGCATCCTGGGCTACCATCAGCCTCATTGGGGCGCCCTCCATCATAGGTAGGAGCTGACGTGTTCACATGCTGTGTGAATGTGCTGCCCGGCTGTAGTATGTTGATGCAGCAGCCAGCTTCTGCAGTTCTAGGCTCTGTTGCTCTCAGTGGCAGGGAAGGCGTAGTGAATGCCGGTTTCTGTGGAGGGGGTTGGACGCCTTTGGGCAGGTTACACGGGGTATGATGCCGCCCTCGACCGTTTGGGGCTGTGATGGGAAGTCTGGCCGACAGGACCTACCAACCGTTGTAAACGAATCCGTGTATCATTGCCGAGAGGATCGCATGTTCTCGCTGAGAGAATTCTTGTCAGAGCGTGTCTGTGAGCAATATACCACCTGCTCCTAGTCCTCGCAACAGCACTGACCATTGCTTATCCTTTCCGCAAGCGCAGAATTGCTGCACCAGTGATATTGCATCCTCTGCTTGTTGGCTGCACTGCATGCCTCATAGTTACCTGGGATGAGGCTCTGCTGCACTGCAGTCCCAGCGGTATGGATGCATCTTATGCTGGCCAGCAGCTTGGCAGCTAGTATCTGCCATTACGGGAGGCGAGCGTACGTCTAGTTTTGGCATGGGTAAAGGAAGTCCTGGGGAGAGCGTCGATAGTCTTGCCTCTTACAAGATACTGACAGCTTATTGAATGGATGGATAAGGTCCTTGACGGCCATCGTCTCCAAGCAGTCGATAGGCTGGTCATACAGATGGTGGTCATAGTCGTCAGGGCTACGGTATACGAGATGCTCATTCAAAGGTGAGTGAAGCTACAGAGCGGACATCGTTGTTTTGGCTGTCTGCACAGCCACTGGGTGACTGCAGCGTTCAGAGATGGTGCAAGCGGAGCTGAAAACTGCGCGCTGCTCATCTGCCATTGACACTCAGCGCCAGCACCGCGTTGGTCGTGCGTGCCGGCACATGTCGCCTCAAGTGAATGCAGCCTGTTTGCCACTTCTGCCTCAGTCTTTACTGTACAGACAGGTATTTTTCTACACATGAGTGGGTCTCTCCCTACTTTTACCGTGACCTCTCCTACCACAGTACGAGCATCTTCCCCTGACTTGACTCGTATCACTGTCAATGTCGTTGCCCCTCTCTAACCATAGGCTGAAGATCTTTTGCTTCTCTGATACAGGCTGCGTGCACGCAGACTGCACCCATGTGCTGCCAAAAGTCTGTGGCTCGTCGCTTGCCTGCCTCTTATGGCCTCCCGAAACTTGAAGACCTCCTCGAGAGTATGTTTCTAGGTTTCGGATCTCGAGCAGATCGAGTTGAGATCTCGCTGTCGCCAGACCCCCTAGCTAAACCATCCGCGGAGAAAACTCATGTGGTATATTCACTCCATTCTGGCAGCTTGCTGGACACTCAGTGGCAAATTGCAGACAGCCCTTGTCCAGTGATACGATGCCGACGCGCATGCGCGTTTACTGTCGGTCATGATTCATGAGTCTGTTGTGCAGTGTGAAAGCGAGCAACCATCGTGCTCTCCCTCGCTTACTGCAAGTTGTTTTTCATTTCGCTGCCAGACATCTCCATCTGACTTTATTCGTCTATGACTGGCACCGAGCTAGATCTCGTTCAGGTCCCTGCGAAGACCCTGTCAGCAACACTCCATGCAGTTGACTACTTTTTGCCTGGCCAGTAACCTTAGTTGCAGCGAGACATAGTCTGTCCACTGCGTGTGCAGTAAGTCCATTCTTCGTCGACCGCGCCATTAGGACCAAACGTAGGTCTCTTTCACCTTTTCGACCTTAGCGGGGCGACCTTGCCGGTTGGGGTGTGTTTCCGACTGTCAATGATATCATGCGAAGTAACTGTACACGACGTTGCAGGATCAACGTCGCAGTCTTTGTACTCGCAGCCCAAGCAACTGGACAGGTTTCACGGCGAGCAGCATGGGGAACACTTATGTGGGACGGTTCGATGTTAGCTGTAGATCACGAATTTATCAGCAAAAATAGCATATGAATAACCATTTGTCTCGTGACGCCATTGAGCGCGGGATCAATGCTGATAAAATTCACAAACGAGAGTGAGGCCATTCTGATATCGACACTGTCGCGGCCATCTAACGAGCAAACTAAATAGCCTGCTCTAGAAATTATATCTTTCAAGAGCAACAACTAATACTCATAAGCAGCTCAAACATATCTATGTAATCCATAATTTTTCATATCTAGCTCTATAAAAATAGTTGATTATGGATTCTATCTGCCCTAATGTGAAGTGGAATTAACTATAGCAGTAAAAATACTATTTGTTTCTATTCTGTAGGGGGAAAGCTAAAGAAGATAAGCCAATGCAGTTTGACCTGCCTGAAAACTACTTGAAGTAAGTATACCTATGTGCTGCCCTATGTAAGCTCTATATAATTGAAATTATTAGGAGTAGATAATAGGGACCCTAGCTATTATCTACTCCTATTATCTATTATCTACTCCTATTATCTACTCCTGAAATTATGTATGTAAATGATCATCAATTCGTGCTATTGTGTTGCAACAAAATGAATTTATGCAGGAGAGTAGAGGCATTGAACAAAAAAGGGACTTCGCACCCACCGCCTGGTGTCAGGCCTGGGCACAAACCAGGTGCCGATCACAAACATGGTGGCTTTGCTAGCAAAGATACAGAGCTGGAAATGCGTTTGAAAAGGCTTAAGGATAATCCAGGAAAGGGTATGTATATATAGCATTTGGAGTGAATAAAATCGAAATGGGTTATTATTTGCTCCTGATAGCATGATGTACAGAACATGTGGACATTAATATAAAACCTCATCTATGACTCATTGGCATGCATGCTTATTATGTATTGCACTTTTGAAATGACAACAGGTTCGCCACCACCGAAACAAGCTACCCACGCTGAAATTGAGGAAAGACTCGCAAGACTAAAAGGTGTCCACCCTTCTACCCTCAAATCAAATGATACCCCAGTGAGTATATGCTTAAGTCATCATGAAAAATGCTCAAGAATTAGAATGATAGCATTGTTCATCCACGTTCAATAAGTTAGCACTATGGAATCGTGATATAATTATAACTGTATCTAGGCCAACAACTGACTGATATCAAAAGTACGTGATTAACCGATTCTGTTGGCGTGTAATTCGGTTAATCTCACTGCAATTTATAATCATTACATCATATAAGATACAAATCGATCCAATCTGCAGGGCATAATATAGCTTGATTGCCGACGGGATGAACTGTATTTTGTGTCAGATGTATCGCCCGCCAGATGTTCGCACGGAGACACAGAAGACTGAGGACCTACTGTCTGAGATTCAAGATCGTGTGGAAGTTGAGTCACACTGGCCTGATCCAGCTACAGAGGTTGCTCAACGGTTAGAGCAGCTAAGAAATGGTCCAGCTGTCCCAGCTCCATCTGGTAGGTTATTTGGCAAAATACTTACTGTAAACAGTAACAAGGTAACGAAATGACGGCAAATTGTTATCCATTTAGTATTATTTTTGCACAAGGAGAACTGGTTATAGAATTTTGACATTTTCAGCCATGGATTCCCAGAACGACTTAAATAAGCCCAGTTTGTCGAAAAGCAACCCTGGGCCATCAGAACTCGCCAATATACCTGGAGATTTTTCAAATGTTAAGCCTGAACCAGATAGTGTGAACAGCAACGATGATGGCATTGGCAAGGACATTGATGCAGCCATGCTGAGCAATCTCCTCCAGGTGGCAACCTTTAATTCTTATTTTCTTTAGTTCCTTCACTATTCTCCTAGGTAGTAATCTTTTGCATTGGATTGCTTCTGTCTGTTGGACTGTGTTGAGCATAGGTATTTTTATATTCATATTTTTTTATTTCATTTACTATATGGGTGTTCTCACAAATTGAAATTGTTTTACTATATTTAGCTTAATTTTGAACTTGTACCACATATGAGTGACACATGGTCAGGCTTGTAGGGTGGGAATCATCAAAGCATTCGAATTTTATGAGCGGTTGCTATTATATTGATGATTATTGACAAAATATAATGGAAATACATTCTGCGTTGCAGGATGCTCAAAGAGAAGTCGAGGAAGACGCTAGGCGAGCCATGCAGAGTCTGGAAAAAGACAACGAGATACGATTTAAATTGGATGAGCTGAAGAAAAATTACAAGGAACAGGAACATAATAAACCATCTCCAATAGATTGCACTCAAATCGGTTAGTGCTTATTCTCATTGACAGTCAGATGCAGCTTGTAGAATCGCAATGATTGCTCCGTGCGTCCGTCCGTGCGTCCGTCAACAGTTTGGCACAACAATCTTAACTGCTCGACGTACGGTCACGATATGGGGCGTGGGGGGGTAATCCGAAACGAGGGATGTCGAATTAGGGGGGTCAAGATGTGTCAATGGAGGGGGAATATTTCCCCCTTAACTTAAGGTATAGGAGGAAATACAGAATTGCGGCAAAAATCTCAACGGCTCGACCTACGCTCTTAATATTTGATGTATAGTGTGATGGGGAGGAAACCCATCACCAGCGCGAAATTGGAGGTCACAGGTCAAAGGGCAGTGGGGAAAGGTCAGATATCAGACGTTTTCTGAGGACATGGTCTAACGGACCGAGTGCAAAACTTTTTTGTTTCAGCGCTGACCTACCATTTTTATCACTTTATTGAAAGGACCATCCGAATTGAAAGGAAATCTACTTTCCGATGACGTGCGAAGAGTAAGTGTCTGATAAGCTTTTGACCCACAAGAGGAGGGTTAAACATGGATTTGTTGACTGTTAACAAAGGACTGAACTGCTTTTGCTATTAGAGCCCCCTCCACCCGCCCCTCTCCCCACTCTCCCTCACCACCACTACGCTCGAGCTCCACACATATTCATGATAACATGTTAATATAGTGAAGTCAATCAAGTTACACAGCTGTATCTTTATTACTGTACTACCAGTAGGTATAGCAAAACCTATCATAGATTTTAGATCTGTATTAGTAGTATCCTAGATATATGCTCTGAGCGCGAACGCGGTGGCAGGAGGGCGCACTTGATTCGGTTGCCAGTGAGTTTATCAGAAGAATACCTGGCTACAGTACACGTCAGTTGTGCGCTGTCGCTCTGCGGCACTTGTTTACTATTGCATTCGATTTCAAATATTATTCTTTGTGCGAACAGGCACGTTTCACATTGTTCACGTCATAAAGTACATTTCACCATTAATTAATATTTTACATCGTTAACATAAGCAAGAGATGAAGCCTGTCCTATATGCTAATCACAGGACGAACATAATTGCTTGCGAAAGGTGGGACAGTAGATGGTCACTGGCAATTATGGACATTTGGTAATGTAAACTGATCATGTTCTGTTCAGGTGGTGAGGAGTATGATGAAGTAGATAGTGAGGAGGAGACCTCAGAGCAGGCTACAGAGCGACTGATAAACCAGGTCAGTGTGTTGATCGGATGTAAATGTTGCATCTATCTAAATTGCAGAGATGGTAAGTGCTCTGAATTTGGTGGAGTTTCTTCAATGAAAACTAATAATCTGCTCTCCAATATCAATGTCCAAAGCTCCAATTTTGTTTCCCTGTACACTAGTAAAAAATTCCCTCGTTAGCACCTAGCGTACATGACCCAAGCCCTAGAGTCTAACTTGGACCATAAAGTGATAGTACGCAGTTAAAAATTATATTTACTTTAAAAATTAGTGCCAAAGTTTCTGTTCATGTAAACCTAATCGCCAGATAATTCCATTAAGAAATTGTTCAATGGTACCTTCCGAAAGTCCCTCTCAGCGTTATTTATTAAGTTTTATTGTGTACCCAGTTTTGTCACAAAGTCAGTAAGTTCAGGCCAAATATGAATACAAGCACTCTTGTTGCCTTGGTCACACACAAAGTATGCAGGAATAGTAGGGGGTGAGACGTAATTTAACTCTGATCCATGAAGAATTCTCAAAGGAGCAAAGCATGCCACATGTATATAAGCCCATGTTGAAAACATGATTCATGACATACTAGTAAGAATAGAGAAACATAGCATTAATAGTTCTTTATTGTAAATAATTTTTCTTAAAATATATAATTGTATTTGCATAAAACTTTCAGCTTTCTTGACTCTCCACCCCTACCCCACCGAGGCTATGTTCCTGTACCCCACTCCTGCTCCTATTTCCCCATCAATAAATGTTGGCATCTCTGCTATAATTTTATACACCTGAGAGTGAGAAAGGTAACTACCATTTGTCAGTCAGTATTCAGTATATTTTTTTGGTTTGTCAAACCAACCCAATAATTCGTTAATAAGCATTGTTTATAGAGTGCCCTATCACGGTGCTGCCCAGGAATCACACCAAGGGGGCGGGATTAAATTATGTCATATATGTGTAGAACTGCAATTGATTACTATATATTGTTAAGTAATGGACAATAATTCAAAAACTGTTAATAAGAAACAAGTTGACAACAGCAATGAATATATTATAACTGGCTACAACACCAAATTAGCAATAACTCATGAACTACTGAATGCATGCTATTGAGATGTTAGGCATTCAGATTTTAGTACGTGATATGTAATGCTAGTGTGATACTCATGTGCACAATCATATTCAGTTAGTTTCAGAAGCAAAGCTAGAAGAAGAACTGGGCACAGATCCCACATCATCTGGTAGCAGTGATAACGTGGCGCCATCTGCAGCGAGTAAAAGTCACCATTCCTCTAAACCGTCTCACAAGACCCGAAAGACTGTGCCAAATGTAGCCCTAAAGCATCGTGGCAAGGTATCTCCTTACTTCTTCTGTGACACTCGTTCATCACTCAGCGGCAGCCAGGGTTATTGTTATCTGATTGCTCTGTACGTTATGAGTTTTCAGGTGAAAAATAATGTTTGTTACATCTTTCAGACAAATTTTGATGACGAAGGCAGCAATACATCAGAGCTGCCGTGGTGCTGCATTTGTAACGAGGATGCCTGCCTCCGTTGCCATGGTTGTATGGATGATCTATACTGCATGCGCTGCTTTAGGTGTGTGCAACTTCTGTCAATTCCCAAACCATTTCGTTAGACTCATGCTATTGAAAACGTGATCGGGCTTTTCTCATGAGATATCACAGCTGATGATATCACCTTGTCACCTTGTCACCTTGTGATCTGCTGATATTGGTTGTATATCCCGACAAGATCAAATCCTGGTCTGGGGAATTGTATGTTTGTGTAATCAGTCTTATTGCAAAATTCAAATTGGTAGTTGACATGTTTACAGCCATTTAGAATATAAAAAATCTTGTTGTTCTGACTACACATTGACGTGTGAAACAGGTGCCTATGTTAATAAGTAAATGACCTCAAAAGTAGATGTTATTGAATGTCATTACTTTGTTTTTTATTTTCATCTATAAATAATTTCTGCCGATACATATTAGGGTATAGTCGAGCAACTATTATGTATTTAATTAATTTTCTTTAATATTCTTACAGGGAAGCACATGATGAGTACGACATGTCTGATCATAAGACAGTAAGATTTCACCAACCACAGAGCAAGTAAACGTGCTAACAAAAAACTAGTTACAAAGTATTGTTTAAGTGTGTAACCCTACAGAATGCGTAAAGTTTATCTGTGTGTTTCCACATTAAGTTTCAGTATCTAAATAGTGTATCCAATTTATTATCATGGGAACCGTAACTCCTATCTTTGCTGATTACTTTGTAAGTTTAGCAAGCATTGAGCTAAATTGCTAATGTGTGTATACAATTTAATTTAAATAGAACTTGTGTAATTAAATTTAGTGTAAATTATCAATATAAAAAATTGTGTTTGGTATTAATTTTATTTTACATAAATATACAATTTAATTCTATTTATATGTTCATTGAATATACGAAATTGTACTGCTCATAGATTAAATTGAGTGCCTAATTTTATCACTGAATTATTCTGCACGTTTGGGAATTATAATTATACGTAAATCTTGAAAGTTCATAGTCGGATTTTTTTTTAAACATTAAGAACATCATTGTTCATGGTTAAATCCTTAAATTGTTTACCTTGACAGTTTCAGCTGTGTTCAGCGTGCGTGCGTGCGTGCGCGAGCGTGTTTCGTTGTCGCTTTTCTATTAGTGTGGGCTCTGCGTAGCTTTCTGTCGTTTATATCGTTATTGTATCTGTTCGTTGCGTAACTTTGTATCCCATCTATATGATGGGATACAAGGATGACTATCTGCACAAGGACGGTGGAAACAAGATCCTGTTTTGGGATAAAGCTGCTATTCTGTGTCTGATGGGCTAGCTTTGTGTTTAGGCATCGTACGTAGTCATACACTCACAAATGGTGCTACTACATACATAATTACAAGAGCTAATAATACCTAATTATTAATTATATAATGATCGGTATCGCACACTCGTGCAAGCGGCATACGTCGCCGAGCTTTGTTTTCCTGCGCACCGACCTTTAATTGTATTCCCCGTGACGAAGTCGGCGGGGATACTATGGTTTCGTGTCTCCCCAGCCGCCGCCGCCGCCGCTCGGTCCGCCACAGAGAATTTCCCTTCTGCTCTATAACTCTACTTCTAATTGACCTAGCGTGACCAAACTTGGTATACTTACACATCTTGGGGAGAAGGTGTGCAGAGTACCAAAACCAGGTCACTGCGACCTTTATTTGACCTTTACCTTGACCTTGATCATATTTCCCTTCTGCTCTCTAACTCGGGCCCCTAATTGACC